CAACAGTTTCAGCTTGATCAACTGTGGCCTTGAAGAAAAGAAGACTGTCATCAGCAAACAAAAGGTGTGATACACCCGGGCTGTTTCTCGCAATCTTGATTAGCGTCAACTTGTCATCTGCAATGTTCTTATTAATTAGTTTCACTAGTCCCTCAGCCACAAAGAGGAACAAATATGGACTCAGGGGGTCCCCTTGTCGAAGACCCCTGGATGGGCAAAACGGATCCAAAAGTTCCCCATTACATCTCACCGAATACCTTAATGATATGACGCACTTCATGACCTAGTCGGTCCATTTCTTGCAGAATCCACTCTTCAGAAGTACACCTTCCAAAAACCTTCAATCAACTCTGTCATAGGCTTTTGCCAAATCCAGTTTGTACGCACTATACGTCTCCCGGGGTTTTTTGTAGTGTTGTATTTTATGGAAACACTCAAAGGCAATGAGTGCGTTATCTGTGATCAATCTACCCATGATGAAGGCACTCTGGGTTTCTGATATGATGCCATCTAGGATAGGTCGGAGACGGTTAACAAGGCATTTGGAGACCACCTTGTAAATTACATTACAAAGGCTGATGGGGCGGTAGTCTTTCAACGATTGAGGATCTTTGCCCTTTGGGATTAGGACGATGACTGTATCATTAATCCCTTCTGGCATTGACCCATTCTCAAAGAAACCGAGAACACCTCTGATCACATCCTCCTTGAGGACCTCCCAGTTCCTTTGAAAGAAGCGAGCCGGGAAGCCATCGGGCCCAGGAGCTTTGAGTGGGCCGATCTGAAACAGAGCATCACTTATTTCCACTGCCGAGAAAGCTTTAGTGAGCGCCTCATTCATATTGAGTGTCACTTTTTCATCAAACAACTCCAAAATCTCCTGTGGGTTTAATCCGTCCTCCTTCGTGTACAGATTTTTAAAGAAAGAATTAGTCATTTCCACAATCCCTTTCTTATCCTCCACCCAGACACCGCTGGAATCTATAAGTTTGGTGATATTATTCTTTTTTTCCCTCCATATAGCTTTCCTCTGAAACCATTTCGTGTTTCTATCCCCTTCTCTTAGGTACAGAACTCTTGATCTTTGTCTCCACATTATTTCTTCTCGTAACAGTAGTTCGCCTAGTTCATTGGCCAGCTTGTTAACTTCTTTCTGCTGCGCTGGGTTGGGATGTAAATACTACCGAACTGCTATGCAACCTTATGAACTGGTTTTGATGCGTACCCGTCCGTTCGCCAGCTCTGTGTTTGCACTGTTTGGCACCGCGTTACAGAAACGGAACACATGCAACCTGCAGGGCGCGCGCATTCCCTTGGCTGTTTATGTATGTATGCTACGCTATTTGCAGTGGTGCTCCGCAAGGGGTGGGCAGTTCTGCTCCGAGAAAAGAGTCACTAGGGGTGAGCAGTTTTGATCCGAGAAAAGAAGCCTCGCTGTCGGATATCCGTCCAAGCTCGATGGTCATCTACTTATCTTGCCAAATATAGCAGCCATGGGCAGGAACTGAACCGCATCTCCGTCATTTCATTCTTCAGGTTAAACTGCGCGCATATCTCTTCTGCTTTCGGATTGGCCTGTTTGGCATCTCACTCCACTGATCCAGAAAGGGAATCGGGGACGGCCACAAGTGGAAACCCAACCACGGACCGTGCAGGGCGGCTGTTGACGGCGAAGCGAGGCGCCAATGGCCGGCCCACTGGGCAACGCCAGCGTGCCGGCCGACATGGTGGTACGGCCCCCGTCGCTGGCTGGCTGGCGGTCCCCGCCCCCGTCCCCGTCGGCGAGGGAGAGTCGTGCAAGTGCGCAACCACCGCACGTCTCCACCAGGAGGAGGCACGTGCGAAGCAGGAAAGATGGACGGACGGACGGACGAATGGATAGATACGCGCGACGTGTGGTGATTATTTCCTTGCAGGGAAAAAGCGGAGGCCGCTTTTGTTTCTATTTCTGCCCGGTGCGGCTGGGCCCCGCCCCCGCGGGGAGAGAGAGGGAAAGCCACCGGCCGCTTCGCGAAGCTTCTGGACCGTCCGGCCAATGGATGCGCGCGCAACTGCCGCGCGGTCGGCCCTGGTTGGTGTTGGGGCCGCTCCTGGCCGTCCACCGGCGCAATTCTCGCGCGTGATGCCAAACCCGAATAAACCATCCGCAAATGCTACGTGCACCAAACCAAAATTACAGTAGACTTTGTTGTTGCTAATAAACTGGGAGCTTTACTTCGTTCGAAGATGTTACGGCAATGACCCTCCTGGTTTGAGATTTAGACTTGGCCATGGCGGTCGCTTTTTTCTGAATTTACTAGTCTTTTCGGCGATCAGCAATGTTCATTGAGTGAGAAATAATTTGGTATCTCGAAGGTGTTTATAAGGGTTAAGTGTACGTGCATGTGTTCATAAGGCGAGCATATTCACATGTTTGCGTTTGCTGGTTTGTTGCCTCAAAATTCCAACAAGAATGCCCCCCACTGCAGGATGCACACTATATGGACATGCCAATATTTTTTTGCACACTTGCATCCTATATTTTTCATAGGATAGTGAGCAATGTGAAGGCTTGAGCGTGGGGGTTGCAGGTCATGTCCATAGCGGGGTTGCAGGTCATGTCCATAGCAGCCCAATCGGCCTAGCATAAAAGTAAGCCTAAGCCAGATCCTTAGAGCGAATGCGCATTCGGAAAATAGGTGATTCCAAATTTGTGGGTGTTGGTGCGAATGCACATTTGAAGAATAGGTGATTTCAAGTTTGTGGTGCAGAGGGGGCAGATGTCATCATCCATGATAGTTTTCCTTTTGAGGTTCTCCCACGTGTTTAATATGAATCTTTGTCCAAAAAAGATCACTTGCCGAAACGAATTGACAAAAAGGACTACATGTGGATAAAATTAGCAAAAAAATACCTCCCCCCAGGCGTGGCGGCAGGCGCGTTAGCCGAAGCGTGGCACCTGCCGCCATGATGGGAAGTGGCAAAACCTGCCGCCACACTGGCAGGCGGCCACTGGCGGTAACAGGAATCGGCAAGCAGTTGGCTGCCGCGACGGAACGGAGGCCGCGCGGTGGGCCCTGCCGCCACCGCGTGAGGCGGCATGCACTGTTTGTGTGGTGCACGATGCGACAGCACCGCGGGCTGTCGGGTGGTGTCGTTTTTAGTCGCACTGATTCCTATGCAGTTGCCGGTGGTCTATTTTTATACTGTGATTTCCCGTCTAAAATTCCGTCCGTTCGCGCTCTATTTTCCAGCCTAAAATTTCGCCGGTTTGCACTCTATTTTCCTGCCTAAAATTTCATTCGTTCATGCTCTATAAAGGGAGGCACTAAACCTCTCGTCATCCATCGTCCAACCACACTCGAAATCACCACTACGCTAAGTGTGTCACATTTTTTTGTCGGTATGAGTTTATCTTGCTCGGATCAAAGCATTAGGCCGAGAAAAATGAAGAAATGTGAGTTTACCTCTGCGATGGCAGTCATGTGGTGTTGGTGTGGCAATCTTTGCAAGATGAAGGAGGTGACGGATTTTTTGGATTGGTTGAGCATGAAGTTTTTCATGTTATGAGGAAGAACTACCCATAGCTAGTTCAAAGTATGACAAGCCTCCGGTTTAATTCGTCCATATGTAGTAGCCGACCTATGATCTTGATTCGTGCATGTACGTTTTGCTTCACATATGTGTGCCAACTCAAGCAAGAACATCTGATTGCAAGCTCAACTAGGCTCCTTTGTGATGAAAGAACCACTACCCGACACATCACCTCAACCCTCAAGATTAACCCGTAACAGAAGAAGATGCAGAGAGCATAATTCCACAGTCGTAACCACGGTTATCCAGCTACACAAGGATCGGTCGATATCCTCGTGTAAAATAGTAGCTAAGAAATCGTAGGGTTTTAAAGCATCTCCAGCAGCTTCCCTTCCCCTAATAAACTAGCTATGCGGGAAGTTGGCATAAAAAACACACTCCGGCAATTCCCCTGTACCAATTTTTTTTTACAATCTCATCCTAAAAACACCCCAACTTCGCTCTATAGAGGGGAAGATGGATATTTGCGTATAATCACATCCACCCTCACCGCCGCCCCACCTCACCGCCACACGCTGCCGATCACCCGCTGCGCAGCCGACGGCCCTGCCGCTACTTGCTGGCCGACAGCGGCGTAGATGCAGCACCGCCGCCACACGCCGCTGACCACCCGCTTCTCCGCTACCCGCGGCCGCCGGGCCCCTGCCCCAACGCACCGAATGTAGAGTCGCAACTAAATCATGTTGAAGACAATTTGGGCGTATACATGACATTAAGTGATGGCATCCGAATTCTCTTTTTTGCTAGTTCTCCTGCAATGGACAAAGATGATGTGCTTCTGTCAAAAAAAGCATCCCATTATATTTGCATCTGGTAGCCAGCCGGCTCCTGCTTTCCATAGTTTGGGAGCATAACCTACGCCGCATCTTGTTTTAAGAAAGAAGAGGTGTGTGTGTGTGCGTCATCGCCCGTAAAAGACTGAAGTCACGACCCAAAACAAGCGAAGCACGCAAGGCATATTTTAACTGGTGGACGCGGTGGGAGGCGGAGGTCAAAATCGTTCGGTGTGGTACCGGTAGCCCCACACACCTCTGCCCCCCGCTTCCCACCCCACCCCGCCCGCCCTCCTGGCCTGCTGACACGTACGCCCTGTGGGCCCCCGGCCCCAACCTCCGCCCTTCCAGAACCTTCCGGCCAATTCCTGGCCAGGAATCCCCGGCCGGATCCAGCGGCTCACCCCGCGCCACGTGTACGGCCCGCGCCACCTCGGCGTCTGACGTGGCGCCCCCGCCCCCGGCGAAACTGATACGCCCAAATCTCGCTGCTTCCAGCCTCACGCTCCGAAAGCAGGCGCCCGCTGCTCCCACTTCGCCCAGCCGAACCAACGCCATCTCCCTCCCTCCATCCCGTGTGGCCGCCAGCGAGCGAGCGAGCGAGGGTTCGAGACGGAGGCGATAGCGGCGGCGAGTACGGGGATTTTCGAGGAGATGAACGGCGGCGGCGGCGGAGGAGGAGGAGGAGGGGAGGTGGGCTTCGTGGGGGGCGGCGGGGAGGAGGAGGAGATGGACGAGGACGGCGCGCGGGAGGCGGGGAAGGAGCAGGTCGTGCTGATGTGGGGCTACCTCCCCGGCGTCTCGCCGCAGCGCTCGCCGCTGCTGGGCCCCGTGCCCGTCAGGCTGCCCCTGGCGGCGGCCGGCGACGCGTGGAGGGATGTCTGCGGCGGCGGGTGCGGCTTCGCCATGGCCATCTCCGGTGACGCCGCCCTCCCTTCTCAATTTTTGCTCCGTTTGTGTTCTGGTACTCCCGGTGCGTTGGTTGTGCTCGTCTTTCCATTTGGCGGCGCAGATCTGCTCGGTGCGTCGGCATGCGCGCTTTCTGTGCAGGATTGCTTATTTGCTAGTGGTATTCGGTAGTGGATTTTTGGCCTGATGAGTGAAGGGCTGTCTCGCGATACAAGTACTCTCTACGAGCAGCGCGTCGGAATTTTCTTGAATTAGCATATCACACTTTGGAATCTGCTTTTGAAATAGCCGACCGTGAAGTTGCATTTTCATGCTGGCTAATCGGTGAGTGAAGTTGTGTGGTTGGGATTTGTGTTCTACTGAGTACTGAGTGCTAAACAATGAAAAGAGAGAGAGGGGAAGGGTTACATTTGTCGAGCAAAGCTTGTTTCTCAATTTATCGGAGTCTTTTCTTATGATGTTCTCATGGATCGTATCGTTACTGGTGTGATCGAAGGAGTAGCAAGATGAAGGACCTCGTGTTCTTCGAATGTCCGTTCAAATCCTTTAATGTAAATATGCCTTTTGTCGTTGGATCAATACCAACAGAATTTGCTGATGTACTGTACAAATTCAGACTGTTAGTAATAGCTGCTGTTTATTCAGTGATATGCCAAACTGAAACATTTTATGTCATTTGTTGGCCTTGGTCAATGTGATCAAGTTCTAATCGACACTGACCTGTGCATTTCATTTGCTTTAGAGTCTGGAAAACTCCTCACCTGGGGCTCTACTGACGATATGGGTCAAAGTTATGTGACGGCTGGGAAGCACGAGGTAAAGTTAACAACACACTCGTTGCCTTTGCTCTCTTGTACACGATGAGAATACTCGAAGATATTGCTAACGTGGCCTCTTGTACATCTCAGGAGACTCCAGAGGCTTTTCCTCTTCCTAGTGATGTTGCGATAGCGAGGGCTGATGCTGGGTGGGCTCATTGTGTTGCAATAACCGGTATGCAGCTCATCATACATGCAGAACTTCGTGCTTTGGTAAGAACTCAATTTTTTTGGTATTGGTACTATTCTCATAAATGTTATCCTGGATCAGATGAAGGGGTTGTCTATACATGGGGTTGGAAAGAATGTGTTCCAACTGGAAGGGTCATTGCAGATCAAGCTTCAGTTGGAACTTTGGAGAAGGATGAAAGACAGAGCGCAATTGCCAACAACCAAGGTGACGATGCTTACTACATGTCCTTTCTCAGTTCTTCATTAAAAACATCTTCAGGAGGGCTAAATGCTTACAGATATATCACATAACAAAGGCAACTCCATTGCAGTGAGCCCCAGGTCACAGGCGTCTAGGACAAGCAGTGGAGCAGCATCTGGTCCTTCTGAAAGTAGAGGTACCGAGGATAGCACCAAGAGGCGACGGTTGTCTTCAGCTAAACAAGGAAATGACAGTTCGACATCTGGTGATGAAAACCTTTCTGCACCACCTTGTGTTGTGACATTTAATACTGGGGTGAAAATAACGGCAGTAGCTGCTGGTGGTCGCCATACATTAGCATTATCAGGTAATGTACATTAGTACATTTGGCAGTCCTCTAGTGCTATTTTTAACCTATCTGGGGAACTTTGAGGATTAAGGCCCAATATTTCTTGAAAACTTCAGATTTTGGTCAGGTATGGGGTTGGGGATATGGAGGAGAAGGGCAACTGGGTCTGGGGTCCAGAATTCGTACAGTTTCCTCCCCTCACCCTATACCTTGCATTGAATCAACATCGTATGGCAAGGATCGGCTATCAGCTATGAAAGGCAACAAAAACGCTGAAGGGCAAATTAATAAAGCAACAGGAAATCGTGTCACGGCCATTGCGTGTGGAGGCCGCCATAGTGTTGTGGTAACGGGTTAGTTCTTTCTTTCAGTCTCTTTCTGATACTTCTTTTGTCGTATCCGTGTAGAGACAGTACAAATCATTTTTGGTCTCGAGATGGCATTTGTCAATAACTTCAGTTGGACACATTATGTGTGAGCAACATTAGATATTTGAATATTTCCTTTTTTTAAGGGGGGCAGTAGATATTTCCAACTGGTCAGTTTAGGTTTGGCGTAACAGTGTAAAATAATATTTATGGTGTATTCAAGAATGAAAATCCAATTGCTGCCAGCTTGTTTTGCTGTAGCAAAGTGATGGTGCTTACAGGAAAAAAAGGTATGGTACTGCTTAGACCCTATTCGGTAGTCAAGCATGTAAGATACCATTAGACTTACCGTAGGGACTTTCCCTATGGTTTGCTGGTCAAAAAAAGATACATCAGCTTACTTGTAGGAAATATCCATCCAGGTATTTCCAACCAAAATGTTGAATGGGAGTATTTTTTGGACAAATGCATAATCATGAGATTTATAGAACTAAGATGAGTTGCTTATTGGGGGCATTCCTCCATTGAGACCACAACATTAACAATTGTTCATTTCTTAAGAGTGCCTTTTCCATTGTACATATCATGGATTGCTCAAGAAGACCTGAGGTCTAGGGAGTTGGTGGCCTGACCATGTTTCTGGGGAGTCATTTGATTAGCAGCTAGTCCGGTTTTTTGGTTTCTGGGTTCGTCCTGGCCTTGTCCCCTTAAATGCAGGACAGAGTCCACAGTTGTCTCTCTTTCTTTTCTTAGTAGAATGGCAGTGCTCCTGCCCTCCTACTTCAGAAAACACAGCCCCCTATTTTAGTCAAAATTTCCCCTGCACCTTTTTAACAGCTAGCTCTTGTTTGCAGATTCAGGAGCACTTCTTGCATTTGGGTGGGGACTGTACGGGCAGGTTAGTCTTTTCTATTTCAACACATGGTCTGATCAAACAAGTTTGTTTTCCCAGTAATATATTTTGTATTGACTAAAAGTTTTAACAATGGATCAGAGGATATACTTGGGGTAGAAAGTGTGTATGTCTTAGCATTCCAGAACTCAACAATGGATCAACATGATCAGCCACTCACAATGCTTGTTTAGTTGAAAAATACCATCTCAAAATCGTTTTTAACTTGTAATTGTTTTCCTTAAGACAGCAAATCTATTGCGGCAATTCTGATATTTTATGCATATATGAGGAAGTATGTGTCAGAAACTGTTTGGGTTTTATTTTTGTATTGATAACAATGATTAAGGTGATATACTTGATTAGTTTTTTTTTTGCAGGTCGATTAGTCTATATGTTTTGACCTGACATATTTCATAAAAATCAGTGTTTTTAATCACTGTGCTTTTATTTTTCAGTGTGGACAGGGGAATACAGATGATGTGTTGAGCCCAACATGTGTATCAGCTATTCTGGGAGTCAAGATGCAAGATGTTGCCGCAGGGTTATGGCATACAGTATCCATATCTGCAGATGGTGATGTCTATTCGTTTGGAGGCAACCAGTTCGGGCAGCTGGGGATTGGTTCTGATCAAGCTGAGGTGGGAGCTTTGATTCTTTTTTCCATTCTTACTACATAATGCATAAGAATGTTATTTTGTTTCTGATCAAGCTGTCTGTTCACTACACCAAATGCATAAGAATGTTATTTTGTTTCTATGCAGACTATACCAAAACTGGTAGATGCCCCCAGCTTGGAAAATAAGAATGCAAGATCAGTGTCTTGTGGAGCTCGTCATAGTGCAATAATAACAGGTATAGTGGTCGTATTTTCCTCTGGGAGGAACTCACCGTTCCAATCTGCCCGAGTGCCTTACCACCCTTGGCTTGTACTTTAGAACCTTGTGCTGTCTATTATTAGTTACTCCCTGTGTAAAGAAATATAAGATCGTTTAGATAACGATCTTATATTTCTTTACAGAGGGAGTACAACTTTGTTCTGTACCATGCTATTAGCTAGCCTGCATCAGTATCTTACCGCACACAAAGCAAACAGCTTTGCCATTGTTGCTGCTTCATGTCTATTGTTGAGGTATGGAGGTAACATTGTTGAAATTTCCTGCAGATGAGGGCGAAGTCTTCTGCTGGGGATGGAACAAGTACGGCCAGGTAGGTATCTCTTTGCTTTACTACTACGATTTTTCACAGGTGAGGTGGGGAAAAAACCTTGGTGTGATATGATCTCTGATCTGAGCTTTGGAGTTGCGCGTGCGTGCAGTTGGGCCTCGGCGATTCCATGGACAGAAACGTGCCCTGCATCGTACCCGTGGACGAGTACCACCCGCTGAACGTGTCGTGCGGCTGGTGGCACACCTTAGTGCTCGCGGAGTCCCCGACGTGATGCCGAACCCCTAGCGAAGGAGGAGCTGAACTGCCCCTGTAGGTCAGGTGACAATTTTGTTAGGAGTTTGGTAGACCCTTCATCCACCGAGGTCCCTTGTACATACATGAATGAGGGTGCATACAGTGACATTGTGTATCCATCCATTCTTCCCTGTGCCGGTACAGAGTGCAGCATTGGACGGACAGATTTGTATCGCGCTGTGTGTATACGGTCGAGTTAGGAGGATTTGCTCGCACTGTTTGATTGTGTATACTTACAATCTACTATTAGGTTCAAAGAGCGCGATAATTTGTGCTTGTATGGTGCTCCCGCATTTCCAGCTATCTTAACAGAGATGTAACTTCAACTGCGAAGTGTGTTGTCGTCTGTCACCTTTGTTTTGCTCCTGAAAAACTTTTAACAGAGATGTAGCTAAAACTGCAAAGTGTGTTGTCGTCTGTCACCTTTGTTTTGCTCCTGAAGAACTTTTAACCGTGTCGAAAAATAGAAACCAAGTAACAAGGCATACATACTTTTGGAAATAGCATATCAACAAGAACATGCAATTGCTTGTTGCAAACGATCCAGTTAGCTAGCAAATGTTTTATCTTTTCCTTCGATTTTGAGACAAGCATCCGGATTGGACAGGTGAACAAGCCGCCGTCGTTTCGTCTGCAGATGATCTATCCACTGTGCTTCAGTCCCTTTGAGTTAGACCGACCATTGATGAGTTGTATGTCCTAGAACCTGCACTGATAATTCCAACTTTTTTTTAGACAATGACAATTCCAACTGATCAGACGCAAGAAGCATGATGCAACATCGTGATACAACAAGCCCAGGAAAGAATATATGCAAGAGCGGAAGCTTTTTGTTCTGTATACTAATTACGCACACTTTCATATAGATTTTTTTTTTGAGAAAATCATATAGATTGTTATATCAGTCACCCCATAGAGCGAAAGAACATATGTATGTGGCGTTGATGGGACGGCCCATCAACGCTAACGTGCTCGCTCGCTCGGTCGCCGCCCATGCTTCATTCGCTCAATCAACAGTTTTTTTTGCGGGACGCTCAATCAACAGTTAACCGGTTGATGGATGACCATTGGTCGATTGACTTGTTGACCGACCACTCAAAAAGAAAAAGATTGACATCTTCACCATTGAATTCCCGAGGAAAATAAATCGAAGATTTGGAAAAAAGTTCACAAAATTGAATAAAATATTCATGAAGTTGAAAAAAGTTAATAAATGTGAAAAAGTTCATGGATTTGAAAAAAATTCATGATTTTGAAAAGGTTGTGGTTTGAAAAAAATTATAAATTCAAAAACAACATCTCAAATTTGAAAGAAGTATGCCAATTTTTAGAAGTTCGGGCATTTCAAAAAGTGGCCATTTAAAAAATGTTCATGATTTTAGAAAATGGTCATGAATCTGAAAAGTATTTGCAAATTTGAAATTTTGTATTGATTTGAACTTTTTTGAGAATTCAAAAAACACGTACAAATTTGAAATTTTTTTTGTGAAAATTTAAAATGAAACAATATATGCAAGAAATTGCGCTTTTCTATACTCAAGAATTATGTGCAAATCACTGCCATATGGCTTGGTACTGACAAAAGCGATATTGTATACTTGTGTACGGCTAAAAAGCCGCCTTAAGTAGTGAAATCTCCCTACCTTCCACAAAAAAAAGATTAATTACTAACACATACAATACAAACCAAATGATTTTCATTAGTTATAGCGTATGTTCGCTCAATTTTTTTTTTATGTTTTTGCGAGAAGATACCGCACACTCAATAAAGTATACGATGTTCAACCGTTCGAGAGTATGACGGTGGAATGGATGCATGCAACACAAAGTCATCGTGTTGTTTAAACCGGCAACAAGATCCACTGGTCCGAGTACATGTTCAATAATTCAAATGGCCGTGGGCACTCGACGTCGGCTCAATGATGAAGTCGACCATATCCACCCGCCCGTGGGGCAGCAACGCAAAGGGCGGAGACGGCCGTGGCCAAAGGAGCGAGCAATGACCATGGACTAGTGGTTGGGGCGCCACCCGGTGGCGCCGTCTGAGAAAAAGTTGGACGGTGCCAGGTAGGAGGTGCCCCTTTCACTTTCCTAGCATAAAATTAATAATGCACATTATAGAGGTGGTTTAGCAAGCTCTTCCCCTCAGAGCAAACCCGAAAAGGGAAAACAACAGCCCAAAACACCCTACAGGCTTTCACGGCCAGCAACAACAAGAACAAGTGCATTGTGTTGTCATTAGGGTTGATCTTCCCTAACAGGTCATGTATAAACATAAGGGAGCTTACACATCAGTGGCCTAAATACTTTCTCTTTCATGATCTAGAGCATCAACAACTCCAAGGTTGACAAGGGCACCCTGCTTGATCGCCACGGCCTGCTCGTCATCGAGCCTGAAGATTTCTCGGAGCGCGACAATGTCCTGCAGCTCCAGCTACTCCTTCAACTGGTTGGCAAGAGCATCCAAGGCAGCCTCAGTGACGTCCTTGCCATTTTTTATGACGCCCAGGCCACGGCAAACCAAATGTGCATTAATCTTGAATGGTTATTGTTCCTTGAGGTTGCTGGCTCTTACTCAGCTTTGACATATGTCCATGTAAAAATGATCATTTAGAACTCATAACGATTCATAAACATATATGTGATTTCAAATCTAACGCTCCTTGACATTGTAGGCACCATAGTGGACTAAGAAAGTAGGACCCTCTTACTTATGAACTAAAGCTAACTAAAGATCTGACTATATCTCTCTCCAAGCTTGCGAAGCTATGCAAGTGCCGCACTTTATTCCCACGGTTTCTTTACTACATATGCACCTACTTTTTTCTATGCTTACCTATAGCTCGATTAATATATATAAATTACACATGTTGAAAAGAGAATGTTCAAATGTTTTATGAAAATTTAGTTATGTACTGAATATACTCTCCACGGTATATAATACTCAAAAAAGTAATTGCATGGATAAAAGTGAATTGCAGAACTGATTGCTTACCATCACATGCAATGCTCCAATTTCTCAACATCAAACCCATCCATCTGTTAAGAATAGAATAGTTGCTTATTGATTAAGCTAATTAGGATTAAGTTAATTATTAGATAGGTTGCTTGGTTCTCAAGCAACCATGTACTTCCTTGGCTCTCAAGGCAATTATGTAATTCCTTGGCTCTCAAGTAACCATGTGTTTACTTGACCGCCAAGCATCATGTGTACTTTCACCTGGGTATAAATACCCCACTTCTATCATCAATAAAGACTGATGGATCATCTTTCATTCAAACTCTCTCATTCTTTACTTTTCACTTAAAACACGTTATCATGCACTTTGCTCTCCGCTCAAGCGAATTAGTCACAGAGAAAAGGGGATCAGCCTAACAAACGACGAACGGCACTGTCATCGACCATAGCAGATGCAACCCCGGGTCTCCGGCGGTCTTCAACATCGACCACTGGACACAACGCTGGCCTCGAGAAAAGATAAACCGGAGTCCAATAGCGTGGTTCTTTTCCGATTTAATTTCTGCCATAACAAGTCTTTTTGCAGGAAGAATACAGAAGGAGAAGATGCAAGAGGAATCAATGAAAAATTAGAAACACTCCTCTTACGGCAGAAAACTCCGGTGATTTCTTTGAACGGCGCCAGAAACAGAGGCAATCCATCAACGACATCGTCAACTAAAGATCAAAGAAGAACAGAGCTTGTCAATCTGGCCTCAATTAAAAAAACAGAGATTACTAATCTTTGCCTGTTTGATCTAATATTCTTGTGATGAACCAATAATCTAACAATGGATTGCTTTTCACTGTATGGCTGTATGTATGTACTCACGCAAATCACACGTAGAAGCAATCAATCGTTTGAAGCACCGGCACAAGCGACTTCAGCCCAAGGCAAGGCGACTTCCAGCGCGGAGCGCATGACAGCCCTCGGCACCGTCGCTGCTCCTACCAGCGCAGCACTCCATGGCGTACGGCGCCCAACGGCGTGACACCACTTGGCCTTGACTGGCGAGAAACGGCCGGCGTAGCCCGCTGCATAAGCGTTCCCATCGCGGCTCCCGGTGGCGCGTCCTCAGGCGCGCCCAACAACCGGTGCTTGGATCGACGGATCCATTCGGATGCACGGCACGGTCCATGCACCAACCGGCCGGAACGCGGCGCCTTCCAGCGCAGTTCCGTCGAGGCCACGACCCGAGACGAGGTGGCGGTAGAGATCTCAATCCTCCGGTCTGGCCGGCACGGCAAATCCCTAGCAGCGGTGGTTACGGGCAGAACTCCCGAGTTGGAACCGCACAGGATAGACAGATCGATGATTGGGGAAATCTTTATCTCATTGGCATTGTTCCAATTAGCCTTGTATTTCTGTATATCCAATACATGTCATTGCAGTTTCAGCGTACAGGACGTGGGTTACTAGGATTCACTAAACCTACGGTTTAGTTCTCCAACAATTTGAAACTATGTTCTGTACATAGCACTTGCAAAATATTCCATCAGGCTTACTTTTCTTCTGCAATTTAGTACGTGTATGTACTTTAAGTTGTAGATTTGACGATCAACTATTTTGCAAGTTTGGATAGGAGACTCGCTTTCCCTATTGCATTTACATATTGTAAATGATAATTTTATCTTAAAAAATCAACATGTTCAATACGTCTGCCTCAAGCATTCTATGTAGCATGTAATTTTAGTACAACAACTATATTATACAACTAAAGTTAAACTTGGAATCACAAGGTATTGATGACATCTACTGCATAATTTGCAGATTATCCATCATTACTGTGAGGTCTACGTCTTGTCGTTTGATAAGATGACTACCTTCAAAGTGCTCTTCCAAATATTAATATTAGATGTGACTACCTGAAGATATCATAAGGTAATACTAGCATCTACTGTGAATTTTGCAGACTATCCATATTACTGCAAGGTCTACATCATGCCATTTTGGCAGATGATTACCTTCAAAGTGATTTTCTTAAATATAGCATAACATAAGGTAATAGAGATATGAACATCTACTGACAAAAGTCAGACTATGTTTTCTATTACTATGAGATCTACACCGCATTTGGTGATTATCTTCAAAGTGTTATCTATATAATTTGTGGTAGACACATAAGACCCCGATAGCATCAGCTATATTTATAAAATTTGCTCCTCAGAAGCAGTTGTTGTTGTTCACTAAAATGATTTACTCTCATAGTAAATATTATTCTTGCACACTTGCTATACGCCGAAATGGTATTGTGTGCTAATATCAACTATTTAAGCCCCATTTTGCTTGAATATGTCATAGGAAACTATATATATATATATATATATATATGTGTGTGTGTGTGTGTGTGTGTGTGTGTGTGTGTGTGTGTGTGTGTATTTGCATATAATCGTGATTGACTTCTATTACATTGGTAAAATACATGGCAGTGAAGCCTATGTCACTATCTATAATTATAGTGTTGTCCATCCATCAAGATGGATCCCATAATTATGGCAACGATCGAGTATCTCAACACTTTTGCAGTGTCCACATCATATTGTGGTTATACTTTCATACTGACTAACCAATGTCAAACATGCAACGTCTATGATTTTGGCGGTGACTCTAAAGTTGCAACGCTCATATGCACTTTATGTGTCCAACTTTCACTTAGTTCTCAAACTAAAGTACATAATGGATGAATTTTTATTCACGCTAAATATCTCCCTTAATATAAACATGATGCCTTGAGCACATCGCGAATGATTACCCATTCGTTTTTCAAGACCTCAAGTCTATCGCAGCTCACAATTTTATCACATAATCAACTTCAAATTGAGATATCATGATCAAATATTTTCCTATATACAGATCCAGTTGAAAAGTCGTTAATGCACTTTACATACTCGTAAGATGGTACTACCCTTTTTATGATGAAGAAACATGGAATTTCTTAAAATCATCAGATTCACCCAACGGGTGCTATACCATTATTTGAAATTCTTACTAGTACCGAGAATACTATGCAAATTAGTGATCAGAAAATAGAACCATGAGGAATTCGAAGTAAAGTGGAGGCTAATAGACAACCAAAGATAGAATTATCTCTTAATAGGAATTGGTCGTTATCAAATGATCAAAAGACAACTCTCAAGTTTGTCAAATGTGTGGTTATATAAATATTGTCCCTGTGATTACCAAACCCTCAAACATATGGTCAAACCACACCACATAATTATTGAAAAGGCAAATAAGTTCATTGGGATAATTTGAAAATTTGTAAACGTACAACCAGAAAATATTCTGGTAAATGATTGTTCTCAGATCTTCATCTGAAGGAGAACCAAAAATCTAGTGGATTAGAAGGAATGTGAATTCCCTTGCATCGATGATATGTTTGCGTAATTAAATTTTCAGTAATGTTGGAGACCTCATGTAATCTCCTAGTTATTCCCAAAATATCTTTAGCCTGTACTTGTGCTACTAAATGTAGTGCAATGTCCGATATGCTATTTTTCGGACATGATATTTTATAAATCTGAATGTATGGTTCAATTCATACTCAATATTGTTGCGTACACAATAATTTTCTACATCTTAATAAATGAATATTTAGCTTAATAACCTTATCCATCTTGGTTAGGGGAAGATTAGAAAAATATTGACAATCCTGTTGGTCACAACTCATCAAGTTACAAATTTTCCCAAATCATCAGATTTTATGTGCACCGCATGTGCCATAGGGGAAATAAGTTTTAAGGCACTCTCACCTTAAAATTATAAGCAGGACACTTATTTTTCCTTAAACACATTTAAAAGATATGTCTGGATTGCTTAACCATTATCTGGGGTAATTTAGATACTTCATGGTACTCATATACACATTCATAAAATGTTTTTAAGTGTGTCTCTTATCACACACAACCATGCATGGTCTTACCCAATAAATTGCTTAACTTATCAAAGTAGAAGCAAATTCTCCTGAACAAAGGATAAATCTATTCGAATGGACAATGTCGTTGAACTCATTTCACGAGAATTTTCTGATTGCATTCAGTACCCTATGTACATACCCATAATGGTTAAACTAAATTTCTTATCAAAGATAGTCAAATGAATCACATGACCATTTTTTAAAGAATTGTAAATTTACCAGCCTCTTGCTGGACACATACGACCTTACACATCGTAAGTATGATCTAAATCATACCAACTGCATATCATACTACTTCCCCCTTGTAGTAACTACGTGGAAATCAACAAAGTATTTCCCATCTGTGATAATTCGGTTACATACCGATATCACCACTCCATCGTACATCAGTGGACACTCACAGAAAATTAGGGATCTACGTGAGGAATAACAATTTATCCGTCAATCAAAATTATTCATAGCCCGTATGCTGATTGCATCAGCAATAAGGATATTTTCTGGCATGAGGGGGAGATAAGTACCACAAAGAATGCCGAGAAATAAATTAAAAATGTTATTGACATTCAATCCTTATATCCACGTACTCAAAGAATCTGAACTAAAAGTTTAGAGAATCATATATTTGCAACACATTGCAAATCTGCCACATACATTTACTGATAACAAGGTGTTACTAAATTCTATATTCCTGCAGTAAAG